TTTAATCTCTTGGATTTTACCCAGTGGTTTACTGACACTTTTTTTTAGGGGAGGGCGAGAGAAAGAGGGAGAGTAAGAATTTTAAACAGGTTCCACACCCAGCGTGGAGCTGGACACATGGCTGGATCTCACAATCCTGAGATCATGACCTAAGGTGAAATCAAGAGTCGGATACTGGGGGCGCCTGGGTGCTCAGTCAGTTGGGCGTCTGCTGCCTTCGGCTCAGGTCATGATCTCAGGGTCCTGGGACTGAGCCCTGCATCCTGGCTCCCTGCTCAGCGGGGAGCCTGCTTCTCTCTCTCCTTCTGCCGCTCCTCCTGCTTGTGCTCTCTCACTCTCTCTCTGTCAAGTAAATAAATAAATAAAATCTTTAAAAAAAAGAGAGAGAGAGAGAGAGAAAGACACTTAACTGACTGAACCACCCAGGCATCCCTGTATAATCATGTGTTTAAAAGTATTATTTTGTGGGGTATATTTTTACCTGTTTTTTTGGCAGCACTCAAGACTAATTATAGAAAGAAAAGCATTAAAGCATATAATTCCTGAACTTGATGAAAGGAAAAAAATGCTTAACAAGTTTGTCTAGATTTATTCAAAATATTTTTGAAGATGTTTGGGACTATTAAAGGGTTTAGAAGGTGAATTCTTGTTTAGACTAGGTGGAGCATTACTTTCACGTGTTAATTTTTTTAAGCGAAGCTATATTTGAAGGTTTTAATTTCTAAATTATATAAATTGATATTTTGCTGTGTCATTGGAAACATTTTATATGTCCTATCTTGAACAATATTTCGGTTATAATTAGACTGTGAGCTCCTTGAGATTAGGGAACCTGGCTAGGCTCCAGCCAAGCCCAGTAATATGTTTGTTGAATTAAGTTGTAGTAAAGCAGCAAGAAGGGCACAGTTTGAGAATTTCCAAAAAAAAAATTTTTTTTAAGATCTTATTTATTTATTTGACAGACAGAGATCACAGGCAGGCAGAGAGGCAGGCAGAAAGAGAGGAAGGGAAGCAGGCTCCCCGCTGAGCAGAGAGCCCAACGTTGGGCTCGATCCCAGGACCCTGGGATCATGACCGGAGCCGAAGGGAGAGGCTTTAACCCACTGAGCCACCCAGGCGTCCCTTCCAAAATATTTTTATCTATTTTTTTCATTATGAAAAATTTCTGACATAACTGAAATTATTGAAAGGTAGTATAATGGTTATCGTCTACCCTCCACCCAGATTCAACAGTTGCTTGCATTTTGCTGCATTTTAAAAGTCTCATTTTTGGGCGCCTGGGTGGCTCAGTGGGTTAGGCCTCTGCCTTCGGCTCAGGTCGTGGTCCCCGGGTCCTGGGGTCGAGCCCCGCATCGGGCTCTCTGCTCGGCGGGGAGCCTGCTTCCCTTTCTCTCTCTCTACCTGCCTCTCGGCCTACTTGTGATCTCTCTCTCTGTCAAATAAATAAATAAAAAATTAAAAAAAAAAAAAGTCTCATTTTTTTGCTGAACCATGTACAAGTAAGTTGCAGATCCTAACACTACTTCTACATACTTGAGCATATGTCTCTTAAAAATATGATATTCTCCTAAGTAACCACAGGATTTGTGAGTCATTCTTGTAGAGATCGGGGTAATAATAATGGTGTACTGGCTCTGTCATCTCTCACTTGTGTGGTCCTGGGCAAATTACTTCATATCCCTGAGCCTCAGTTTCCTTAGCTGCAGAGCACTTATCTCAGAGGAATATTATGAAGATGAAGTGTGTAAAGGCACCATTTTCAGTATTTTCCCATACAGTACTCAACTGTGGTGAATTAATACCACACCCACCCTTATTCCCAGAGTTGGAAACTTTTACCTTTTTTTCCTCCCTCATTTGTTGTTAAAAAATCTTACATTTCTATCTTGTAACATTTCTCAAACCTGTCCTGTTCTTTCCATTGCCACCACATTTCCTGCCTGTCAACAATTTTAGTCTCTCTTCTGGTCCCATACTCACCTCCTCATCCTTTCCTTAAGGCTGCCAGAGTTTATGCTCCCAAATAAAAATTTAATCTTACTCATTTCCTGTTTAAAACTTTTCCCATCACCTACAGTATAAGGTCCAAGTTTCTTAATTCTGTCTTCTGTGTACCTTCTGTCTCTACAGCCTTATCTCTCATTATGTACATTCCCTCCCTTCCCCCACCTCACTGAACACACAGACACCATCCCCCAAACTGTAGCAAGCCATGGGTAGCTGTCTAAATTGTACTCTTTGTTACATACTTCTGTGCCTTTGCTTGGTTGAGTCCCCATATCTGGAATTGTACCCCACCCACCATCTTCTTTATCTCTAGCAAATACTCATTTTCTCAACCCCTTCCCCAGCTTGCCTTTTAAGACTAGGTGCCATACAGGTTCCTTCTCTTCCCCCTCCATCTACATTGTACAGTCTTCTAGCATAATTCCCATAACATTTTTGGACAGTCATTTGCTTGCATGTCTGCTTCATTCTGCTAGGTTAGAAAGTCCTTAAGGATACACAGGTTTTATCCCTTTTTTTATTCCTAGTACCTAATATATTGCTTGTACCAGGGATAAAATAAATATGGATATGGAGTCCGTATTTTATGGATGAAAAAAATCTGAGGTTCAGAGAATATTCTTTATGTGCCCAAAGTAACAGAACTAATTAATGAAACATTCAGATCTTTAAGAGCCCATTTCATTATTGTTGCCATTAATTGTAATACTTATAGTTCTTAGTCTGTGTACTTAGAGGCCCCTAGAGGATGTTAGAGTTCCCACATGGAAGTCTATAAAGTCATATATGAATTTTCGGTGAATTGAATTAATACGATTATATATGTCTGTATGTCACCGATTTTTCTTAATGTACCCACATGGTTTTGTTATTAACTTAACAGATCATTTTAGTGGACATACTTACATCTTTTTAAAAAAAATTTTTTTTATTTACTTGAGAGAGGGATGGGGAGGAGCAGAGGGAGAGGGGTGAGCAGACCCTCACACTGAGCACAGAGCCTGTCATGGGGCTTGATCCCATGACCTGAGCTGAAATCAAGAGTTGGATGCTCAATTGGCTGAGCCACCTAAGCGCCCATACTTTTATCTTTTGAGAGGAGAGAAGTATGAGGGCCTTCATGATACGGGTGATTTGGAATAAAGGCTTGACATAGTTTGCTAGGGAATTGATAAGGTGTAAGAAAGTTGTTTTTTTTTTTTTTTTTTTTAAAGATTTTTATTTATTTATTTGACAGACGGAGATCACAGAGAAGCAGGCAGAGAGAGAGGAGGAAGCAGGCTCCCTGCTGAGCAGACAGCCCGATGCCGGGCTCGATCCCAGGACCCTGGGATCATGACCTGAGCCGAAGGCAGAGGCTTTAACCCACTGAGCCACCCAGGCGCCCCAGAAAGTTGTTTTTTTAAAAAGATATGTTTATTTTAGAGAGAGAGAGAGAGAGAGATAGCACAGTTGGGAGGAGGGAGAGGGAGTCGCAAGCAGACTCTGAGCTGAGTACTGAGTCTGACTTGGGGCTCTATCGCATGATCCTGATATCATGATCTGAGCCAAAACCAAGAGCTGGGTGCTCAGCTGATCAACTGACAGCACCACCCAAGTGCCCCAAAAAAGTGGTTTTGAAAGCAGTAAGATTCAGGTTAGATGGTAAAATCTGAAATTTTCTTAGTCTTCAGTAATTCATTAAAATAAAGTTTAAAAATATCTAAAAACAGGAGTGCCTGGGTGGCCCAGTCAGTTAAGCATTTGCCTTCAGCTCAGATCATGTTGGACCTCTTAAAAAAAAAAAAAAAAGTGTGGTCTGGCAGGCATTCTAGGTTCACAGGTATAGCTTAAATAATAACGCTTTAAAATATGTGTGCTATTTCTATCAGTTTGTTTAACTACTAGATAAATAAGATTTGTGTGACTTCATTCATTCCTTTGGCAAATATTTGTTCAATTCTTGCTATGAACCAGGTGCTCTGCTCAGTGCTGAAATTGCAGCTGTGAGTAAATAAAACAGAGAAGCCATACTTCTCCCTGGTGGCCCTTACCTTTTAGTGGGGGAACCATACTCTAACCATAGTGAACATGCAAGTAGGTGTCTGTAGTATAATGCTAGACAGAGGCAAGTACTTTTTAAAAAGGCCAGAAAAGGGAATAGGAAGTGATAGTTTCTATTTTAGGAGTTACCTAAGAAGGCCTTTCTAAGTAGCCATTTGAACAGAGAGACCTGAGTTAAGTAAGGGTACTTGCCATGCAAAGATACCTGGAGGAACAGCCTTCCAGACAGAGGGATCATCAAATGCAGGAAGCTTTGAGGAAGGGGCATGCTTGGCCTCTTAAGCAAGGAAGCCAGTGCGTCTGGAGCTATGTGAGCAAGGGTAGAATGGTAGGAGATGAGGTTGGAGAAGTAGCCAGGGGCAGATCATGTAGGACCTTTAGATTTCATTCTAAATGTAATTTCATTCTAAAAATTGGATGGTTTCTAATAAGGAAATAGGGTGATCTAACTTAAGTTTAAAGGGTACTCTACGCTATGTAGAGAACAGACTCAAGTAGTACAAGAAAGGAAGCAGGGCGATCAGTTATGAAGTGGTGGTTATAGACCTTTGTTTGGGTGAGAGAGGATGATGGACATGGTGAGAAGTAGATTGGAAATGTATTTTGAAGATCAAGTCAACAGGTTAAGTTGACTGATGGCAGTGTAAAAGGGAGCAGTCAAAGAAACTCTAGTGCTAATAAATAGATACTAGACTTGAAGGAAATACACAAATTTTTACTGTGGCTGTCTTTGAGCAGTGGCCTTCTTACTAGGAGCTTTTTTTCCCCCCCCTTATCTGTATTTACCAGTTTTTCTATCCTGAACCTGTAATGCTTCTGCAAAAAATATATAGATTATTTTAAAATTAGAGTTAATCATAGTACTAAATGTACCCTAATTCTTAATGTATTCTCTTATCCCTTTTGATTTTGGAAAAACAGTCTAAGTTTTTAAACCTTTTTACTCTTAGTGATCGGCCTTTGTACCTTTTCCACATTTGAAGATGGTGAAGCTGGATATTCACACCTTGGCCCATCACCTTAAGCAGGAACGCTTATATGTGAACTCTGAGAAACAGCTCATTCAGAGGCTCAATGCAGATGTCCTTAAGACAGCCGAAAAGTTGTATCGTACAGCATGGATTGCTAAGCAACAGAGAATTAATTTGGATCGGCTTATCATAACCAGGTAAAAAAAATAGGTTTTGAGGCGTTTAATTTTTTCTGTGCTAACTATAAATAAATGAATCTATTTCCAACAAAGTGCATGCTTTCAGATAGTTTGAATCAACATTAAGGTGAGTCTTTGCCTATTTTGTCTGTTAATTAAGGCTTTTTTAGAGAATTATAACTTAAGCATTAATATTTTGTACCACACCAGTTAATTTTGTATCTTTGTATGATAACCTTTTATTTTACTGGGAGTAAATTATCTTGTGTTTTTTTTTAAGTAGGCTCCACACCCATTGTGGGGCTTGAACTCATGACCCTGAGATCAAGAGTCACATGCTCTACCCACTGAACCAGCCAGGTGCCCCTCTACTTTTCTATTATTATTATTATATTAAGATTAAAAAATTTTTTTTGAGTAATCTCTATACCCAACATGGGGCTCAAACTCACAACCCTGAGATCAAGGGTCATATGCTACACCAGTTCAGCGAGTCAGGCACCCCTTTTCTCCCGGTATTATTTAATACACAGTTGGCCCTTAAACACTGATTTGACCCTGTGGGTCCACTTATACATGGATTTTTTTCGATAGAGTACTATAAATGTATTTTTCTCTTATGATTTTCTTAACAATATTTTCTTTTGTTTAGCTTACTTTATTGTAAGAATACTGTATATAATACTTATATGAAATATGTGTTAATCGAGTATATTATATGTAAGGCTTCTGGTTAACAGAAGTCTATTAGCAGTTAAGTGGGGAGTCAAAAGTTATGCAAGGATTTTCCACTGCACAGGGAGGTCAGTGCGCCTAATCCCCACATTGTTCAAGGGTCAACTGTGTGTATTTCCATGTTTTGATTCTGTATATCTTCCTGTATATCTACCTCTCACGTTTAGAAACCTCTTTTTCACTGTGTTAATATCTTACTCTTTTGCTTCAGGAACCAGTTTTTAGCTCTAAGTGGTGGTGAGGTATAAATTTGAGAAAACGAGGCAGATGCAGAAAAGTATGATTCCATTTATGTGAAGCTGAAAAAAAGCAGGACTGATCTTTCATAACAGAAATCAGAATAATGGGTTTTTTTAATATTTTTTATTGAAGCTGATTAACTAGGAGGAATTTGTCCTCCTTTGTACTTTTTGGTTTTCGCCTTTCTTCACATGTTCAGATGCTGGTCGGCTGAAAGATTCGAGCAGTTGGGAGTGGTCTCGTTACTAGGACTATCATCAGTCTACATTTCCACGTTCCAGTGGTATCGTATTATTGTTACTGATTTTTATTGTTTTGCTTGTTTGCTCATTTTTTAGCGCTGAAGCTTCCCCTGCTGAATGTTGCCAACATGCCAAGATTTTGGAAGATACACAGTTTGTTGATGGATACAAGCAATTGGGGTTTCAGGAGACTGCTTATGGAGAATTCTTGAGTCGATTAAGGGAAAATCCTCGTCTTATTGCCTCCTCGTTGGTTGCTGGGGAGAAACTGAATCAGGAGAACACACAAGGTGTTATATACACAGTTTTTACCTCCCTTTATGGCAACTGCATCATGCAAGAAGATGAAAGCTACCTCCTTCAGGTTTTGAGATACTTGATTGAATTTGAACTTAAAGAAAGTGACAACCCCAGGCGACTTTTGAGGAGAGGAACCTGTGCCTTCAGCATCTTATTTAAACTTTTTTCTGAAGGACTGTTTTCCGCCAAACTTTTCCTCACAGCCACTTTACATGAGCCGATCATGCAGCTGCTTGTTGAAGATGAAGACCACCTGGAGACGGATCCAAACAAGCTGATCGATAGGTTCTCCCCGTTACAACAGGAAAAGCTCTTCGGAGAGAAAGGCTCAGAGAGATTCAGGCAAAAGGTTCAAGAGATGGTGGATTCCAATGAGGCCAAACTGGTGGCTCTGGTGAACAAGTTTATTGGTTATCTCAAGCAGAACACGTACTGCTTTCCACATAGTTTGAGGTGGATTGTGTCACAGATGTACAAAACCCTCTCCTGTGTGGACAGACTGGAAGTTGGGGAGGTCAGGGCAATGTGTACTGATCTCCTCTTGGCCTGCTTCATTTGTCCTGCAGTTGTCAATCCAGAACAGTATGGAATAATTTCTGATGCTCCTATTAATGAAGTGGCAAGATTTAATCTGATGCAGGTACGCTTTTTAATGTGGCATTCAGTTGAAAGTTGAGTGAGTAGTGTGGTGTGAACAAAATATGATGGCAGTATGTTTACATTCTTACTATTCTGTTTCCTCAAACTGGCTTAAATATTTCTTTCTTTCTTTCTTTTTTTTTTTTTTAAGATTTTTATTTATTTGACAGTGACACAGCTTGAGAGGGAACACAGGCAGGAGGGAGTGGGAGAGGGAGAAGCAGGCTTCCCGCCGAGCAGGGATCCCGATGTGGGGCTCTGTCCCGGGAGCCTGGGATCATGACCTGAGCAGAAGGCAGACACTTAACCACTGAGCCCACCCAGATGCCCCTAAATATTTGCTTCTTAAGAAATAAAAGCAGTTATGGGGCACTTGGGTGGCTCAGTCAGTTGAGTGTCCCACTCTTGGTTTCAGCTCAGGTCGTGATCTCAGGGTTGTAGGATGGAGCCCTGCTTTGATCTCCAAGGTCTAATTCCACTCTAAGCGGGGCATCTGCTTGAGAGTCTCTCCCTTTGCCCTCCCCCCACCCCCTTGTGCACACACACACACACACACACTCTCTCTCTCTCTCTCTCTCTCAAATAAATTTAAAAAAAGAAAGAAAAGCAGTTAAATTGGGATTTAAAAATACCGTAGTCATGAATTTAAAATATTAGTTTTGGGGGCACCTGGGTGTCTCAGTCTGGTAAACATCTGCCTTTGGCTCAGGACATGATCCCTCAGGGTTGTAGGATCAAGCCCCGCATTGGACTCTCTGCTCTGCAGGGAGCCTGCTTCTCGCTGTCCCTCTGCCTGCTACTCCACTTGCTTGTGTTTGCGCTCTCTCTCTCTCTGCCAAACAAATACAGTCCTAAAAAATATATTTTGTTAGTTTTTCCTGTGTAAAGATTTATTTGTTTATTTTAAAGAGAAAGGGAGAGTGAGGGGAGGGGCAGGAGGAGAGAAATCCTCGAGCAGACTCCCCACTGAGCTTGGATCCCAATGTGGGGCCTGATCCCAGGACTCTGAGATCATGACCTGAGCCAAAACCAAAAGTCGGACTCCTAACCGACTGAGCCATCCAAGTGCCCCTTGTGTTAGTTTTTACTCTTTTCTTTTTTTTATTTGAGAAAGAGTGTGAGAGCACAAGTTGGGGGAGGAACAGAAGAAGAGGGAGAAGCAGACTTCCTATGGAGCAGGGAGCCTGCTGTGGGGCTCGATCCCGGGACTCTGAGGGCAGACACTTAACCAACTTAACTACCCAGGCACCCCTAGTTGATTAGATTTTCTAGAACAGGGCCATCATCCCTTTACCATGATTTCAAAACCAGGGTGATTGAAAATATTTATGCATTATCTTTTATACATTGTTTGGTAGCAAAACATGACCTAAACTAACATGAGACTGTTTATCACTGCTAGTTATTCCTTTTAGGGCTAATGAATACTCAGGTTTTGCTGCAGAAATGTGAATACATTTGATTACAGGATGCTTCCCTAATACTGCCTATGTTACATGTGTGTGCTAATCGACCTTTCTAAAATCTTTAAATTTTGAAATTGAAATTCTTCTGGTCCTCAGAGTTCCAGAAAGAGGAGTTTTGGATTTATGTTAGCAGTTTTTTCCCCTCTATCATGAGAACTACTGAAATCTTGTTATTTATTTATTTATTTATTTATTTATTTATTTATTTTTGAGAGGAGAACGGGGGAGGGGCAGAGGGAGGGGGTGAGAAAGAGAATCCTAAGCATGCTCCATGCCCAATGTAGAGCCTGACATAGGGCTGGATCTCACAACCCTAAGAGATATGAGATATGCCCTAAGCCGAAATCAAGAGTCGGATGCTTAACTAACTGAGCCACTCATGCACCTCCATGTTATTATTTCTTTTTTCTTTTTTAAAGATTTTATTTATTTTTATTTGAGAGAGAGCATGAGAGGGGAGAAGGCCAGAGGGAAAAACAGACTCCCCACAGAGTTTGAAGCCCAATGCGAGACTTGATCCTGGGACTCTGGAATTATGACCTGAGCCAAGGGCAGTCGCCCAACCAACTGAGTCACCCAGGCGTCCCATGTTATTATTTCTTAAGGGAATCTTTTAGTCATATCCTGTCCCCCAGAAATACTGTAAAGAAAAAACTGAGTTTATTTAGAATATATCTTTGGATGATTTTTTTTTTTTTTAATGATAAGCTTTTTTCCCCCATGGTCATTTCTGTTATGTTGTTATGTTTAGCAATTAACTATATAAAAATCCCTGAAGTAAAACTAAAAGATTTTTATCAGGGACGCCTGGGTGGCTCAGTTGGTTAAGCAGCTGCCTTCGGCTCAGGTCATGATCCCAGTGTCCTGGGATCGAGTCCCACATCGGGCTCCTTGGACACAGATCACAAGTAGGCAGAGAGGCAGGCAGAGATAGAGAGGGGGGAAGCAGGCTCCCTGCTGAGCAGAGAGCCTGATGCGAGAATCAATCCCAGGACCCTGACCTGAGCGGAAGGCAGAGGCTTAACCCACTGAGCCACACAGGCTCCCATGTTCTCATTTTTAGAAATTACTGAAGTCGTGTTCTTTGTTTAAACAAAACAAAACAAAACTGGGGTTAAGTGTCCATCTCAGTTTTGGCTCAGGTTGTGATCTTGGGGTTGTGGGATCAAGCCCTGCTTTGGGCTCTGTGCTTAGCATGAAGTTTGCTTGGAATTATCTCTCCCTCTCCTGTCCCTCCTCCCCCAACTTGTCTGGGCATGGGTTGCCCTGAGCCAAAGGTAGAGGCTTTAACCCACTGAGCCACCCAGGCGCCCCTCTAAAATAAATCTTAAACAAACAAAAACTAAAAACAATGCAGAAAAGGAGCCCTTGGCTCTCTCAGTCAGAAGAGCATGTGGCTTATTATCATGGGGTTGTGAGTTTGAGCCCCATGTTGGGTATAGAGAGTACTAACGAAAATAAATATAAACTTAAAAAAGAAATGCATGGGGCGGGGCACCTGGGTGGCTCGGTGGGTTAAGGCCTCTGCCTTTGGCTCAGGTCATGATCCCGGGGTCCTGGGATCGAGCCCCGCATCGGGCTCTCTGCTCAGCAGAGAGTCTGCTTCCTCCTATCTCTCTCTGCCTGCTTCTCTGCCTACTTGTGATCTCTGTCAAATAAATAAATAAAATCTTTAAAAAAAAAAAAAATGCATGGGGCGCCTGGGTGGCTCAGTGGGTTAAAGCCTCTGCCTTCGGCTCAGGTCATGATCCCAGGGTCCTGGGATCGAGCCCCGAATCGGGCTCTCTGCTCTGCGGGGAGCCTGCTTCCTCCTCTTTCTCTCTCTCTGCCTGCCTCTCTGACTACTTGTGATCTCTGTCTGTCAAATTTAAAAAAAAAGAAAAAAAGCAAAAATTGAAAGCTTTTCTTCCCCATGTATACATACACATACTATATGTTTTGGAATTTTTTCTTTTTCTTTTTTTTTTTCTAGAAATTATAGTTAACACTTGTGCTTGCATAGTGCTTTACAGATATTAACTTGTTGTTGTTGTTTTGTGGGGGGAGGGAGAGTGGGAAAGAGTGAGAGAGAATTCTAAGCATGTCCCATGCCCAGTGCACAGCTTGGTGCAGGGCTCGACAGTCTCACAGCCCTCAGATCATGACCTAAGTCAAAATCAAGAGTCGGGGGCTTAATTGACTGAGCCACCAGGCACCCTGAGATATATTAACTTGTTAAATCTTCACCACCCTATGAACATACCTCACGAACTGGATTCTCTTTTATATACACTTGAAGATGCAAAAACTGAGGCAAGGAGAAGTAATTACCAAAGGTTGCATGGCTAGTGAGTGGCAAAGCTGAGATTTGAGTCCAGGTAGTTTTGCTTGAGTGTTGTGTTTTAGATGCGTCTGGGGTCTTACCATGCATAGTGTTCTGCACTGTGCTTTTTTCATGTAATGGTAGGTAATGGACCTCTGTACCTCTGTCTCCTTAGCAATTGTGTAGTATTCGATGGCAGAGGTGTACCATAACTTACTTAGTGTCTTTCGAACCTAATCTTGTTTAATATTGCCAGTTACATTAGTAATGGTTTCAAGTAATACTTTAAAAAGTCAAGGTTTTTGAACTGGAACAAGTAAGGATACATTAGTATTTACTAAGTAATGTTATTTGCTGTCCAGGTATTTTGATATTCTCTCATTGGAGTTACATAATAAAATCCAAGCTTAACCCATAAGCTGTTGGGTATGCATGAATTTCATTATTTTTGCGGTCAGTCTGTCTTCTTTAGTTGTGGAAGATTTGTAGTGTATTGGGGGTAGAATTGACATCTGTTTGGGTTTTATTTACTTTGGCAGGATCTTGAATTTTGGTGTCATAAGAATTAGTCTGACATAGTGTTAACTTGAGATGTAGATGCACTCTGGCTTTATAGTACTTGTATTTCAAGGTAGGGTGCATTTCTGTTCCTTGTGCCAGGAAGAGTTGGTACTAAGTCCATTTTTTTTCCTACAATGTTTTACCCTTATTTCAAATATACCAACTGAAGATGTTAATGTATCATTGTTTCCTTTTTTTCTTAGTGGTAGTTATTTTTTAAGTGTGAGGAAATATCTTTTTTTTAAATATATATTTTATTTATTTATTTGACAGAGAGAGAGAGAGATCACAAGTAGGCAGAGAGGCAGGCAGAGAGAGAGGGGGAAGCAGGCTCCCCGCTGAGCAGACAGCCCTATGCGGGGCTCGATCCCAGGACCCTGGGATCATGACCTGAGCCGAAGGCAGAGGCTTAACCCACTGAGCCACCTAGGCGCCCAGGAAATATCTTTTTTAGTACAGTAATAATTATTTCAGGTATGCCTGTTAGAAAAATAGTAGATATTTTCAGCTTAAATTTAGTTACTGTTCTTTAATCATTTTGGAACTGGTTAGAAGTTGCTTGGCTGATTCCTAACTAGCTCATTGCTCGTTATCATTCAGTCCTTTATTGATTAACTTTTTATAAATGTAGACGTTAAATCAGACTGCTAAACACCAGTTTGTCTGCTAAGCAGTGGGGGTACCAAGATGACTATCTTCCTACTTCAG